GTCATCTTTGTATTATTTGTAAAGACTTGGAGACGCTTGCACATTCTGAGGACAAAGGATCTGTGAGTATACAAATTCAGGTTACATGAGAGTCACAATTGAGTGTTCGATCCCCGACCGCGTCACACCAAAAGACGTTAAAATATGGTACTTGTTGGTCCCTGCCTGACGCTCGGCATTAATGGGTACAACAGGGACTGGTTGGCTTGAAGTCAGTATAATGTGTCTGAGTGGGGTATTCCTGCTTCACTGTGGCATGGTATCTCAGTTGGCTAGCATTATAAAACCAGCTTAAGTCTGGGCTAGTACAAACAGCCGCACCTACACATACCCACGCATGCACGTCGTCATATGAGCGAAATATTCTCCAGCGCGACGTTAAACCCAATTTCACCTCACCTCACAATTGAGTGAGTGAGTGAGTGAGTGAGTTTGGTTTTACGCCGCTTTTAGCAATATTCCAGCAATATCATGGCGGGGGACACCAGAAATGAGCTTCACACATTGTAACCATGTGGGGAATCGAACCCGGGTCTCCGGCGTGACGAGCGAACGCTTTAACCATCAGGCTACCCCTCCGCCCCACCGCAAAATTGAGTGAGTGAGTGAGTGGGGTTTCACGTCGATTTAATAATATTGCAAACATATCCCTGCGTGCGGCCATCAGAAATGGTTTTCACTGTTTGTGATCCTGTGCACAAAGCTCAAGTCACAAATCATCTGAAGTTAAGCAACATTGGGCGCGGAGAGTCCTTGGATGGGTGACCGTGTTTGGCAGCTTGACACATGAGAGTTTCTAGGACTTCAGGCCTGCTCCACAACGAAGCACATGTGCACATGTGTACTCGCAAATCTTAACTTAAATTTCAAAACTGGTGTCACTTGTACGTTACAATAGTCCGATCCAGTCTGTCAATCAAAACTGGCGCATGCCTCAATTTTGGCCAATCAGCAGGCCGGGCGCGCTGTGTGGGTTTGTCAGACTTATTTCCGGGATCAAACGATGCCTCCGAAGTGATGTTCTTCGAACTATGCCATTTACACTCGCTATATCGATTACATATTGCTGCGATTTGATGTGTACCTTTACCAAAACCATTACGGTCAAGACAAAACAATTAAGGTGGATCCAAAGAGCGAGACAGGCCTAACGATCAGTTAAATGTTTGCACCATCGTTCACGAAACCTACGTCTGCCTGCAGATGAGAATTTGCACGAATTTCCACACTTTTGCTCATGTGCAAAATCATTACCAATGTGATGACAACAAAAGTGTTATAAACATGGACAATTCTTGTAACTACAAAATTGTTTTTGCTTAACGTTTTTCGTCACTAATGGGCATTAAGTTGGTACGCCATAAAGCTCAAATGAGACAGGCGAGAAAGCCGTGACACAATGTTTACACATCTGACAGCGATCTGATTTCGGTTAGGGTCGACCGAAATAGTAAAACTTGTTACATGAAAGAACAATGTGGCGGATAGTGTTCCCTTCGCTATTAGATATTCCTAAATTTCATGAATTTGTCACACATTTTGGGATGTTTTAAGTTTCAAAAGCACAATCTCAAGCCTACTGTACAGTATCTTGTTAACAGAGCAAAATATTCGAGGAGTAATATTTTTTATTCAAACGGAAATATTGTCAGTGTCAGCAGTTGCCTATCATGCAATATCCAAGCATAAAAATTAGTTCATATGAGTGCCTATAAAACCATGCTTTAAATATTTCAGGTTTTTTATGAAGAGATGCATGGGACATTCAATTGAATTACCTTCCTCAACGTTGATCGAATGAATACAAAAACTATGTAAGAAGAATATATATAGTGACGTCTGGAGCATTGGGCGGAGTGATATAAAGTGTAAATTTTAATTACGAAAACATTATTTGAAGTTTTGTTACAAACAAAATTATTCACATATATTGGTACGTTTTAGGAGTAATATCAAACTGTCATTTTGATTAATTCACTGGAAATGATAGCAAGGTATGTTTTCAGAATCTTGCGTTTTTCTAGTATACGTGGAAGGGTAATAAAATAAATAGTAATCTAATGAATTATAAATAATTATTTAACTGATTGACATATCAGATTCATATGATTTTAAGGTAGAACTAGGCAAACAAACACAATACAATCACTTGGTATTAACTAGGTTTCTTGGCTCCTGCTTTGAGATGTTTTTTAAAATCATATATTTAACCCAGATTTGATGTAATTCTTCTTATAAATCATCATATTTTTATAAGGTTACTAATATTTGAAGATTGAGCCAAAGTTAATGTTTATTGGTTTTGGACAAATTGTTCAAGGTTTGTTAATGGTTACTTGGAAAATGAGCTTCATATTACATTGCACACTGGTTTGCAGGGGGTGAAAGCTTCAGGACATTTTCATGTGTGTTTTCTTTTACCAGATTTTGAATCAACTTTACTATAATTCTTATGACACTAGTAAGTATCTCAGAAAAGGAAACAGATCAAAATCAGTGTTATGTCCTCTAGGGATATAATCTCAGATCTAATAAAACAAAGCTTATCATTAATGTCAATTAATGTAATTGTATTGACAAAAAGCTTTGAACATAGGATATATTCTATGCACCTTATTTACACTAGTATTTAGCAGTTAAACATCTCTGATGAAAAAACATTTGTATTTTGTGTAACATTCTATTTAAATGTTAGTTAATTGTTTGGATAACTGTGGATCCTCTTTTCAAAGATTTGGCATCACAGGTTTCCTATTTCTGGAAGATGGGCCAGTGTACAGGTGCAGACTGTATCCTGGATCTTCTTTGTGTTCTGGTGCTGTGACATACCTGTACATAATCGCTGCCAGTTCATGAAGTCCAGTATTGTGGAAGTCTGTATGTAAATTAGGATTCCACAACAAAGTACATACAGATCAATAAAATGAAAAGGCTGAATAAAAAAATGGATTTCCTTATATTCAGTATTTGAGGATGGTGTCAGCTGTTGAATATTTGCTTCAGGGTATGTCCAGATACGTCCATGGAAACATACTGTTTACAAGCCAAAAACCTTTTCCCGATTTCCAAATAAGATCAAATAGATTATACTGTGATTGATTTGTTTACATAATTAATAATATACAGACAAATAGGGTGCACGAAGTAGTAGACGGGAAATATTTTCTGCTTTTATTTACCATTCGTTTAAAAAACCCAACCAAACAACAACTTTCAGTTACCCTTCCCCTGCTAATATCTTTGACGGAGGTGAACTGCCAGATAGATTAACTGATTCGAGAGAATATACGCTTCCTACACTCAGCAGCTGGACGATTTTTCATCGGGCATGTAACTCATTTTGACTAGCCATTTGCAATCTGTCAGTTAAAATATATTGAAAATCACATGCGTATAACTTGCCTCTTTAAATATAATTCACAAACGACGGATACCAAAGTACAAGAGGTAGAATTCATCAACAACGTTCGCAACCACGTACGTTTCGCCGGCGGTGACGTCATTGTGATTAGTCAGTGGTTGTCCCTCCTAACGTCAAAAACGAAGTGGGCGGGGATCATCGGCGGAGACTGGATCGGTCTATTGGCGATATTTGTTACGCAACATTTGTCTTGTTTCACGAGCAGCGTATTTGTGGTCATTGAATGTAAATACACTCAACAAGAACATAATGTCGAAAACACTATATTTAACACCTACGGATAAAACGAAATGTTTTCTCAATTGACTTTAATTTGGGTGTTATCCGTGTGATATGAATTAAAAAAAGTGGTGATGTCCAAAACACGTTTTGCATATTAAGCTCAACACTTAACTGGCCCGTGAAGGTCCGGGTTAGAATGAACCTTCACTAACCCATGCTTGTCGTAAGAGCCGACTAACGGGATCGGGTGGTCAGGCTCGCTGACTAGGTTGACATATGTCATTGATTCCCAATTGCGCAGATCGATGCTCATGCTGTTGATCACTGGATTCAGACTCGATTATTTACAGACCGCCGCCATATAGTTGGAATATTGCTGAGTGCGGCGTGAAACTAACTTCACTCACTCACTCAACACTTAATTTATCAATGTGATGTTTGTGTATAACAGTCACCCTACCGTTCCTTTTAAAAGAGCGAAGTGTTTCTGATGTTTGAATGTAACTGAATTTGATAAGGGCGCGATGTGCCAAACAGTTTACTTCAAAATCTACGATCCCATAAAATGTTTTCTCAGTGGACTTTAATTCAAAACGGGTGTTATCAGAGTGATATTTGTTGACTACTCTCACGAAACACCAGTCATTTTTAGCAGTGGTAGTGGCACCCGTGAAGGTCCGGGTTAGGATATTGAGTAACCCTTCAGTAACCCATGCTTGTCGTAAGAGGCGACGACGGGATCGGGTGGTCAGGCTCGGGTGGTCAGGATCGGATGGTCAGACTCGGGTGGTCAGGATCGGGTGGTTAAGCTCGCTGACTTGGTTGACACTGTGACAGGTCACCAGTTCCCAATTACGCAGATCGATGCTCATGATGTTGATCACTGGATTGTCTTAATGTTGTGAAGTGAAGTGGTGAAGTCCAAAAATGGTTTTGCATTAACACATACGGACCCTATAAAATGTTTTCTCAAATGGTTTAATTAGACATGACATTATGATTGTGCGCCCTGTGTAACAAGCAAGGTGTCCCAAATATTTCTACTTGAATATCACGTACTTACAAATGATTTCATTCAAATTAGTCAAGGAAGATAAGTCATTTATAAGACACTTTGGGGTTTGAAAATCATCTATTCGTTTTAATTAACTTCGGTAGATATATGTGTACCCCATGTCTCAATCATTAGAGAGCCACAATAGTGATTGCATGAGTGAATTTCAGATCAATATGGCTGATCATTAACACCGACATCGAAATCATTGTTATTTTCTTTATCTAATTGGCAACAGCCACAACGTCATTGTGTTATAAGAGTGAAATTTCACTCGATGGGTTTATTTGGAGGAGAGAAAAAAGAAGAAGATGTATGTGATTGTGAGTGCTGTTACCGTCTACAACGTTCTGACTCTGGGTTACTGTCAGGGAAATCTGTTGAGTCAAGCTGTTCTTACAAAGAATACCTCAACGTCGCGAACGTTTGTCTGTACGTGTTCCGACGCTGCCAGCTGCACTGCAGACAAGTGGAAGGACCTTCTAGCAGAGTGTCGGCAGATGTTGGAGAACATCGACCATGAGGTACTCTTAATTTAGAATGGGCATGGTTTTTAGCAATATTCCAGCAGTATGACGGCGGGGAACACAAGATATGGGTTTCACACACTGAACCGGGTCTCGCCTTGATTAGCGAACACTATGAGCACTGGGCTTCCCACTACCCCGTACGTAGTAGTAGTAGTAGTAGTAGTAGTAGTAGTAGTAGTGGCATCCGTGAAGGTCCTGGTTTAGATATTGATTTTCAGTGAATTATACTTGTCATAAGAGGCGACTAACGGGATCGGGTGGTCAGGGACGCTGACTTGGTTGACACATGTCATCGGTTCCCAACTGCGCAGATCGATGCTCATGCTGTTGACCACTGGTCCAGACTCGACTATTTACAGACCGCCGCCATAGAGCTGGAGTATTGCTGAGTGCGGCGTAAAACTAAACTCACTCACTCACTAGTAGTTGCAGGAGCAGTAGTAGTACAACGCAGGGAAGTGGTGTTTGACATTTACAGGTAGCACTGAGAATTAAGAACCTGGTCCGGTGGGTTGTGGGTGGTGATGGTGGTGATGGTGGTGGTATGATAAGAGTGGATACACCGAATGTTTGCTGATATATTAAACAGACAAAGGAGACAGTATTTCCGTGCACGTTGGACTTATATTGAAACAAGTAGGTTGTCTGAATACGTGAAGTTTAAATGAAACTTAGTGAAATGGTTTGCTCTATGACACAGGTATCGGAAGTTGCAATCAGCAGTGATGTATAAATACTCTCAGCACAGACACTGAGGACTAAGACTGAATTAAACGAATATGTGATCAGAAAAATGTAACCTTCAGGTTAATCATCTGCACTCTGGGTGTCATAGCGAAGATAAAGTTTACAAGCATTCAGATAAAGATTCAAACATATGTAAGTGCCTTATATACATTTCTATTCACTTTACGAGCCTACAAGACCCTAATGCTTACCTTTGTGTCGAGTGCCAGGAAACAGTGAGTACCGTCACTTGCTCTACCGTCTAACACTCCAAGCCCCGTGCGGACTCTCTGGCCAATAGGCCAAGGCAATAATTGTTCTTAAAGATTGTTTGACCTTAGCAACGTATGTTAGAGTCCCGTTAAGGCGAACTGCAACCATGCTGTGATGAATACATGTTTCGTGTTATTGAAAACTTTTGTAGAAACGTTTCCGAAACTGCTGCAAAATAATTCGTCCGTTTCCTTTACGGCCTTAGCATCTGAGGTCATCCTTTAGCCACGTGGAAATGGTGAGAATTCAAACATACGAAACCTAGACTGTTTTATGTTATCGGTTCACTGCAGAAAAATGTGCGAAAGAGAAAGGAAATATTGCATTGTGTTATTCTGAAGATAATATAAACTAGAACAACATCAACCTACTGTTCGCTATGTGCTTGTCATGTTTTTACCGACCACGTCTAGCGGGCTCGTTTCGGACCATTCAGGCATTAGAAAAAACGCCACCTAGAATTCAGACTAGATTCAACAAATCTAAATGTGTCCCTGCTGATAAGAAGATCCACCCGCATTCATCTGATCATGAAATCAAAGTCGTGTAACACATTTTACAGACCACGTCAGAAGAAAGAAACCGTTTAGAGAAGCAAGAGAAAACCACTTCGGCACAAGAGACAACCACGTCGACACAAGAGACAACCACGTCGGCACGAGAGACAACTACTTTGACCCAAAGTCCGACCACCACAGGTAATGGTTCTATTCGTGAAGCTCTTGCCCATGTTCCCTATACATTATATACTCAGCACATTAACTATCGCCACATGTAACCCTGAGTGCGTGTACCAGCATTGATTGAAACATATGTCAATCATCGGATGTCCGCAGTTATGGTGTCCCATACGATCACATTCACTGACGAAAAGGCTGATGTCACATATATTTGTTATGATCTCCATGAGACCAGCTCATACGAAATGTGTAGGTCGGTTGTAGCTCGGCGCACCATTCATGGATAATAGACGGGGCATCATTTCCCCTCCCGAACAATTAGCCTGCAGAAATGTTCCACTTCAACACACATAACACCAACCAGCTTGACACACATAACACCAACCAGCTTGACACACATAACACCAACCAGCTTGACACACATAACACCAACCAGCTTGACACACATAACACCAACCAGCTTGACACACATAACACCAACCAGCTTGACACACATAACACCAACCAGCTTGACACACATAACACCAACCAGCTAGACACACATAACACCAACCAGCTTGACACACATAACACCAACCAGCTTGACACACATAACACCAACCAGCTTGACACATAACATCAACCAGCTTGACACACATAACACCAACCAGCTTGACACACATCACACCAACCAGCTTGACACACATAACACCAACCAGCTTGACACACATAACATCAACAAGCTTGACACACATCACACCTACCTGCTTGACACACATAACACCAACCAGCTTGACACACATAACACTAACCAGCTTGACATATATAACACCAACCAGCTTGACACACATAACACCAACCAGCTTGACACATATAACACCAACCAGCTTGACACACATAACACCAACGAGCTTGACACACATCACACCAACCAGCTTGACACACATAACACCAACCAGCTTGACACACATAACACTAACCAGCTTGACATATATAACACCAACCAGCTTGACACACATAACACCAACCAGCTTGACACATATAACACCAACCAGCTTGACACACATAACACCAACCAGCTTGACACACATAACACCAACCAGCTTGACACACATAACACCAACCAGCTTGACACACATAACACCAACCAGCTTGACACACATAACACCAACCAGCTTGACTCACAAACACCAACCAGCTTGACACACATAGCACCAACCAGCTTGACACATAACACCAACCAGCTTGACACAAAATTTTGGACAAATAGTCGACAGGGTCATTTTGGGAACATTCACGTATTAGAAGAAACGCCTCCTGGGATAGTTTCAAGATTTCACAAATCTAAACATGCTAATGTTCATAAGAAAAATCCAATATTATACATCTTAACACTTAGAGGTTCACAATGTAATTTTTCAGTTTAGTTTTTTTAAGTCATGTTACACATTTTACTCTTCACAATCCAACTCTACAGACAAAATCGATGCAAAACAATTCCTCGCACACCAACACTACACATACCAACTGTACTCTCACAAACTCTACACACATCAACTCTACAGACCAACTACACAAACCAACGCTACACATACCACATTTTAATCTTCACAAAAACTCTACAGACAAAATCGACACAATACAAGTCCTCGCAAACCAACACTACACATACCAACACTACACACATGAACTCAACACACACCAGCACTACACACACCAACTGAACACACACCAACACTACACACACCAACTACGAATACCAACTCAACACACACCAACTCTACACATACCAACACTACACACATCAACTCAACACACACAAACTTAACATACACCAACTACAAACACACCAACTCTACACACACCAACTCAACACATACCAACACGACACACATAAACTAAACACACACCAACTACAAAAACACCTACTCAACACACAACAACTCAACACACATCAACTCTACACACACCAACTCTACACACACCAACTCAACACATACCAACACGACACACATAAACTAAACACACACCAACTACAAAAACTCCTACTTAACACATACCAACTCAACGCACATCAACTCACGCACCAACTACACACACCAACACTACACATACCAACACTACACACACCAACACTACACACACCAACTCTACACACGTCAACTCTACACACATAAAACTCTACACACATCAAATCTACACACACCAACTCAACACACACAAACTCAACATACACCAACTACAAACACACCAACTCAACACACACCAACTACATACGTAAATTAAAAAACACACAACTACAAACACACCAACTCAACACACACCAACTACATATGTAAATTAAACACACACAACTACAAACACACCAACTCAAGACACGCCAACTCTACACACATCAACTCTACACACACCAACTCTACACACACACCAACTCAACAGATACCAAGACCACAGATATCAACACAACACACACCATCTCCATACACACCAACTCGACACACACAAACTCAACACACATCAAACCTATACACACCAACTCTACACACATCAACTCTACGCACATCAAATCTACACACGCAAACTCTACTCACACCAGCTGTATACATACCAACACTGCACACACCAACTCACACACCAGCTACACACACCAACACTACACATACTAACGCTACACACACCAACTGTACACTCACCATTTCCACACACACAAACTGTACACTCAGCACCTCCTCACACACAAACTGTACAAACACAACCTCCACAGACACAAACTGTACACATACCACCTCCACACTACAAGAACTGTACACACACCACCTCTACACAATCAAGAACTGTACACACACCACCTCCACACACACGATGTGTACACACTCAACCTCCATACAACAAGAACTGTACACACACCACCTCCACACACACGAACTGTACACTCACCACCTCCACACACACGAACTGTTCACTCCGCACCTCCTCACACACAAACTGACACACACAACCTCCACAGACACAGACTGTGCACATGCCGCCTCAACACTACAAGAACTGTACACACACCACCTCCACACAAACAAGAACTGTACACACACCACCTCCACACACACGATGTGTACACACTTCACCTGCACACAACAAGAACTGTACACACACCACCTCAACACACACGAACTGTACACACATACCACCTCCAGTCACACGAACTGTACACACACCACCTCCACACACACGAACTGTGCATACACCACCTCCACACAAAAAAACGAACTGTACACACTCCAACTCCACACACGCGAACTGTAGACACACATTTCCACACACATGAACTGTACACACACCACCTCCACACACACGAACTGTACACACAACACCTCCACACACATCAACTCCACATACACCACCTCCACACACAACTCTACACACATCAACTCTATACATAGTTATCAACTCTGCACACGCCAGTAATATACCTCTACACAAATAATTTTATCTGAAAACTAGTGATACCTCTGTGGGGATTTTAATAAGTGTTTCGTCAATTTCCATACTCGTTGATTCCAATTATATATTGATCAGCCGTTCTCTTAACATGAACTATTCATATTATTCTCACAGTGTATGTCATGTTCAAATGGACTCATTGTTTACTTCACCATACACACAACCACTACAATGAACAATATGTACAGGACAAGGTAGTTTTAATTAGGTTTATCGATAAAACCGTGAACATACTTGATTAATAGTGTTTCTCTACGACCGCCAGCACAAATGTAATTCCCGTAAAAACAGAAGTAGGAGCCGTGATGATGCTATGTACATATTTGATAAGCATTTACTTCATAACGTGGGCCCCCTAGTCTATAGATCACGATCATTGGCCTACCTAAATCGATGGAAATAATCTATTTACATATTTTCAGAGGGGCAAAGCATAATGCTGAGCCATTGCTACTTAGTAAAATTATGGCAGTTCATACATATGGACTTGGAGGCTGGAGACGGGGTATAATGATATAAAGACAGATCATTGAAGGAGTAGGGGCGTGTCCGACGTGTATGTGCATGTACGTGTCGTGCCGTATTTAATGTGTCTGTAGGGACAAATCTGTGTAAGGGCATGTTAGGTGTGTGTGTGTGTGTGTGTGTGTGTGTGTGTGTGTGTGTGTGTGTGTGTGTGAGTGTGAGTGTGTGAGACAGTGCGTGTGTGTCGGAGCGTATCGGACATGTGTGTGTGAATGTGTCTGACGTGTGTAAATGTGTCTGACGTGTTTATGTGACTGTGTATTAAATATGTCAGTGAGTGCGTCTGACGTGTATAGGTGAGTGTGTCTGACGTGTTTACGTAAGTGTGTCTGACGTGGGTGAGTGTGTCTGATGTGTGTGTGAGTGTTTTTGACTTGGGGAGTGTCTGACGTGTGTGTGTCTGACGTGTGTGTGTGTGTCTGACGTGTGTGTGAGTGTGTCTCACGTGTATACGTGAGTGTGTCTGACGTGGGTGAGTGTGTCTGATGTGTGTGTGTGTTTCTGACTTGGGGAGTGCCTGACGTGTGTGTATCTGACGTGGGTGTGTGTGTCTGACGTGTGTGGGTGTCTGGCGTGTGTGTGTGCGTCTGAGTGTCTGGCGTGTGTATGTGAGTGTGTCTGACGTGTTAGTGAGTGTGTGTGGCGTGTGTGTATGTATGTGGTATGTAACGTGGCTGACGTGCGCAGGATCATGTTTGTCGTCATCAACTAACATAACTTATACTACGACTACAGCCACTACTGCTACTACCTCTACTAATACTGTCAATATTACAACTACCACCACGCCGATTTCTACCACAACCACCATCACATCTAATGCTAATACCACACCCGCGCACGGTCTCTCTTCTACCTTTACTTCCGCTGCTCCTACTACTATACCACGACGTCTACTACTACAATTGGTACTACTACCTCAGCAGTACTACCAACATATATTTACATAATATGCTACATTTACTCTCTAGTTTACTCGCTTACCCCATACGTGCTTTAAATGGACGAATAAATGAATGTTGCTGTATGCCGTTATTTTCGGCTTTCATCGAGGGGGCGGTGGGATAGCCTAGTGAGTAAAGCTTTCGCTCGTAACGCCGAAGGACCCGGGTTCGATTCCCCACATGGGCAAGATATGTGAATCCCATTTCTGGAAGCTTAACCTTCCCAGTACTTCGTTTTGGATGTCCATCTCATGCATCTCATGTCCATCTCATTCCAGCATCCTGTGTCTCGGACTGCACTGGTCTGGGCAGTGGGAAATACCAGTCGTGTATACGGTGCGACGGCTACGTGGAATGCACTCATGGAAGGACATTCAACAGACCATGCAGCTCTGGTACAGTGTGGGATGATAACAGGAAAAACTGCCAGTCTCCTCCGTCACCTACCTGTGTCCCGAATGAATAGAACTTTTAAACGCCGAGTTGAACAAAACGCTGTCAGTTTTTACTCCATGTACCCAACACCAATCTCGATTATCAGCTGAAATAGGTCCCCCGGGGAGTAACAACCATCACTCAGACCCCTTGTGGTTTAGTAGTTAGAAGTGAGTGAGTTTACTTTTACGCCGCACTCAGCAATATTCCAGCTATATGGCTGCGGTCTGGAAATAATCTCGTCTGGACCAGACAATCCAGTGCTAAACAGCATGAGCATCTATCTACGCAACTGGGATACGATGACATCTGTCAACCAAGTCAGCGAGCCTGGCGACCCGATGACAAGCATGGGTTACTGAAGATCAATTCTAACCCGGACCTTCATGTCCAGAGACATGCCATTAATATTCTCTCTCTCACTCAGTATCGCCTTAGTCATTTGTCTTTCGATTGTTACTGGCTTTGCATCGTTATCGAATTATCTTCTTGTTTTACACTGTAGTGAAGTGTTGGAAAAGTAGTTTTTGTCGACCTGATGTCAGAAAAAGAGTTGATAAAATACCATTCGCTCAGCGTTGCGCAATAGGGGTATTTTACTCCCGCTTCACTTGAATGTAGAACCTGTGGCAATCACTCACTCAGCTATGTAAGTTAGCACAACACCTAATTATATTATTAGTGTAATATATTTATGTCATTAAAACTTATACACTCATTTCTTGGCTTGTCATTTATCATACGTTCCACCATTATCTTCTTGTTCATGTACAATAGTGCGGTGTAGTAGCCAAGTGGTTAAAGCGTTGGGTCGTCACGCCGAAGACCCTCGCTCGATTCCCCACGTGGGTACAATGTGTGAACCCCATTTCTAGTGTTTCAGTCGTTATTTTCCTGGAATATTGATGAAAGCGGCGTAAAACTAAACTCACTCACTCTTGTACGTTTGTTCTGGTGTATGCGTTATTGTTTGTTCGTTTTAGTTTATGCGTTCTTTCGTGTCTTTAAAGGCATGTTTACGTTCGTGCGCTGAGTTTGTGTTCATGGATATGGGTTTTAGTAAGTGCGTGTTCGTGCATGTTTAGTTGCGTTCGTCCTCGTGCATGTGTTAGTGTTCGTGGGTTGTTCGGGGCGGTGGGGTAGCCTTATGGTTAAAGCGTCCGCTCGTCCCGCTGAAGACCCGGGTTCGATTCCACACATGGGTACAATGTGTAAAGCCCATTTCGGGCTCACTACCTCACTCGTGCGCTCTTCTTTGTGCTATCAGAGGCAATTAGGGGTACAACATCTACATAACATACAAAGCTCATTGATATTATTGGGCGCATTCATGAATCTCACGACACGTCGCAAGGGTCAGATACGTATGGCCAAGCAGCCTAATTTTGAAAAGAAAATGTTACATCATAAGCAAGTGTCCAAGGGCCATCTTCATGAAGGTCAGTTCTTTCTATTTTCTCCAATCTATAACCACTGACAGACTAAACAATAAAGTGATAAAGACAATCCCGTTTGACGGCGTCTGGTTAGTTTTTGGAATGTCTATCTCCATCATAATCATTAAGCACGATGAAATTGTTTTCGTCTACCATGACTACGTGAAATACGCGAATTTGATTCGACAATCAGTAAAATTAGACACTATCAATCCTGGATTGACAATGAGTCTGATTTCATGACCGCTTCACTGCACACGTATCCAACAATGGCGCACTACTTCAGCTTGACCACCAACATGGCTAATATCAAGCAACAGACGTGATGGAAATGTTTATAAAACATTTATTCAACTCCAAAAATACAATTATATGGTTTGTCCTCCACAACTATTAGGAAACCTCACTATCAAATTACATTCTATTATAAAAATATTCAAACACAATTACAAGGCACAGCCCCAAACAAAACCAAACAATATCTAACTTATAAACCAGAAAGCCTTGTAAATATACATCCCTATCTATACAAAATTTGCAGCAAAACGTTAATAAATATTTGCCTACCTGGTAAAGGGTATATAAATTCGCAAGATAACGGTCAGGCGAAACACCACATTTATACCACTCATACTCCATCCTGTTGCATCGTTCAAAAAATACATGTCAGAAAATGAACTACCACAATTCTGCTCTCTGTCAGCTTCCCAACAAGGGTGTCACTGCTGGTGATCTATGTTCGTACACTTTGAAAATATCTTGGCCACAAACCTGTCCCAAATGATGAATACAATTTCCAAGGAATCCCAAGTTAGTCGCATGTACACAAATCATTACGTTGGGCTAGCACTGTCACTCTTTCGTCGCATACCGGGGTGGAGGCACGTACGTGAAATCACGATCGAAACTCGACGGTCATAAAAATCAACAGTCTTTGACGTGTTTGATGAGTTACCACACTGATTTGTTGGTCGATCAGAAAAGGATCTATTCTTCGATTCTGCAGGGTTCATATTCGACAGTCAGTGAAGTATTTTCTCCATTGTGACTTCAACTTTCACCCTTTCCCAAATGTAAACATTGGCTCGCCCGCCATTTCAAACTGTTGCGCAACAACTACTTCTGTGAAAATAAGTAGGGCAAACGATTCCATTGCCAGGGGAAGGGTACAGTAACACGGCACACAAAACAATAGGTCAGGCATTCCAAAGCACGTCGACCCCAAAGGCGATCACGTGATTCGCTGCACGTTACTTGTGAAGTAGACTTGCACAAGTCTCTAAGGTCAAAATTAATAGTTTAAGGATAATGTCTAAAAAACAAAAAATAAACAACAGGCCGGGGTCCTTAGATGTACTGTCCGCCTATCTAGACTTGCCTCTTCGAAGGATAGAATTACTATACATCCATGGGCTCAGCATTCAGTACAGCCTTGGAGCAAGGCTACCCGTGAAGATCAGGTTTAGAATTGGTCGTCATTCACCAATGATTGCCGTAAGAGGAGACTAACAGGATCGGGTGGTCAGGCTCGTTGACTTGGTTGACACATATCATCGTATCCCAGTTGCGTCGATGCTCATGCTGTTGATCACTGGATTGTCTGGTCCAGACTCGATTATTTACAAACCGCCGCCATATAGCTGGAATATTGCTGAGTGCGGCGTTAAACAACAAACAAACAAATCGACCCACTTTATTGATGTGTTTCACATTTTATGGCCACATTTTCAACGTCTGCTGTCAAGACCAAGTTACTTCAGTGCCTACGGAACCCATACAACGTTTACTCAACTGATTTCATTCTAATTAGTCATGCAGCATCAGGCATTTTAACAAGCTTTGTGGTTTGGACATAATTTATTCATTTTAATCAACACGGTAGACATGTGCACCCCAGATCTCAATTATTAGAGTGTCTCGATATCGATTGCATGTGTGAAAATCAGATATAATTGATGATTAAGACATCGAAATCATTGTTACGTTTCTGTTGTTGGCAACTGCAAGCAACGTCATTGTGTTATAAGCGTGAAGTTTCACCCTTTGGTTTCATTATCGGAGGAAAACGTGAACAAGATGAAACCGATAGTAAGTGTTGTTACCATCTACAACGTTCTGACTATGGGTTACTGTCAGGGAAATCTGTTGAGTCAAGCTGTTCTTACAAAGAATACCTCAACGTCTCGAACGTTTGTCTGTACGTGTTCCGACGCTGCCAGCTGCACTGCAGACAAGTGGAAGGACCTTCTAGCAGAGTGTCGGCAGATGCTGGAGAACATCGACCATGAGGTACTCTAAATGTAGAGTGGGTGTGGTTTTACGCCGCTTTTAGCAATATTCCAGCTCTTTGGCGGCGGGTGATATATAACATGGTCTTCACACATTGTACTATGTGTGGGATCGAATTCGGGTCTCGGTGTGACGAGCGAGCGCTTTAACCGTGAGGCTACTCCACCACCTCCTGTAAATGTTCCCAAGTGCTCAAATTGATGCTCATGTTGGTGATAACTGGATTGTCTGGTCCAGACTCGATTATATAAAGACCGCCACCATATAGCTGGAATATTGCTGAGTGCGGCGTAAAACTAAACTTACTCACTCACTGTAAATGACAAGTGGTGTTTCGCGTGAATTCGTGGAATTCGTGAATTTGTAAAGATGGGGTTTATCCGATTTATCGTTAACTGATTAATGAAATTATTAGGGCTGCACGGCATTACCGGTATATCGGTAAACCGCAATACGAAATTCTAACAATTACGTATCGCAATACATTTATGACGTACCGGTATACCGCCAAAGATATATTTGTTCACTTTTAACCCATTCAACACCGCACATAAGACTTCCGCCCATATACTCCCTAAATTTTAATGGTGAGGAAAAAGATATATATGTATATTCAGGTAATATGGGTGGTGGATGGGGATTGGGAGGACGTCTTTCCAAATGATTGGCGACGGGTCCACTTAAACATTGTCAAAGAGCAAAGTATGGACGTTTCGAGGAAATCATTAAAATTGAATAAACTAATTAATAGAATCAACAGTTTTCATAAAAATTGTCAAACGTACATCTAGGTTACTATTTCCATCTTTTCGTGCGATCATGTTATGTAAGTCAAGTGACATCTCGGCTTTTGTCACCTCGATCTTCATGCTCGGACACGATGTTTAATGAGAAAACATCTGCATTTGCCGTTGCCACCTAGCACGATACGTCCATAAGTTCCATAATTTACTTATATATGGCGAATTGTTGCTTACGACGTTCAGAATAGCATTATTGTACCCAAAACTTTGGTCTAAAAGGGTTTTTTTATGAGGAAGGTATCCATTGCTGTAATATGATTGGCTTACGAGCATGATTTTTACCAATCACGAACCTTATAGCAGGCTGTGGCGAAAAAGCGTCATTAGAACCAATCTTTATCCAATAAAATCGCTTCTTACCGCTGCGAAAATACACCTGGCAAGGTTACTGTGATATTATTGATGATTAGAGCTTTGGAACAAGACCCGAGATCAAATGAATCTTCTAGAGTGTTGTTCATACGGAGCTTCGAAAACGGAGGCATTTCCCATGTTACCGGGTGATAAGCCACTGTTATCGGAAAATAGGTGACCATGCATATTATTTAATTAATCTTTACATAATAATTTTCTGATTACGTAAAAATGAAATTATAAAAGAAACAGGTAAGAGGATATTATGGCATCTTAAAAATGGAATAAAATACGTCTCGTTGGTGGTTTATATGGACATTTTAAATGTGTAAATTTGTATTAC